TCCGAAAGTACAACGAGGACATGGGTCACTTATAGCAGAACCGCAGGCATCTTGCGTTCACGAAATTTAACATCTTTTACCAGCACTTAAACCACGTTATGTTCCAAAATGATAAAATTCCTCCCTTGACCATTAGTGTCCCCGAGAATACCAATTGAGAACAGTTGATGATGATGATGATGAGGAGGAGGAGGAGGAGGAGGGAGGGGGGGGGAAGGAGTGACAGAAATGTTAAGATTTCAACTTCAAGTTTGCCAAGAAGATCGAAGAGAGATTTTCAGGAGTAATTGTTCTAACTTGAAGACTTCTTTTCCTCACCGTTTATCAGACTGATGTCAACAAAATCATGGCAAATGCCGTCGAGTCGAGGTTTCAGGTTCTACCTGAATTTCTCTCCCGTCCCTCCCCTGTTCTTGTCTTGCTCCTCCCTCCCTCCTCTTTGCTCTCCGTCTTACTTGATGATCAGCCTCGAGGAATTGAAGAAAATCAGGATGGTACTGACGAGATCGATCTTCGCTTCTACGAGGTGGGACAAGCGAGGGGGAGGGAGGAGGGAGGAGGAGGAGCACTGCTGTTGTTGGGAGCACAGAAGGACGGGATATGGGCCGGGAGGTTTGTTTGTCTCACATTCACTTGGTAGGTTTCACTTGATCGACCGACTGGCATCGAGTTTGCGACAGACTTGAGTCTTAAGTACGTCTATGTCATGGAGGTACGTCGGCCATTGCACCCTGCTCCTTCTTCCTCTACCAGCCTGCATCCCCCCGCTCCCTTCCCTCCTCTTGTTGATTGAGATAATTGTTATCTCCATCGTCGCCTCCTTCTGCTCCTCCTCCTCCTCCTCCTCCTCCTCCTTCCCTGACTAGCCCCACCTTACGTCTTCATCAGGTGAAGGACAACAGCCCTGCCCAGCTTTCTGTGACTCCCGTCCTTGTACGCGCTCCCCCCTCCCCCCCTTCCTCCTCCGACATGACGGCGACTAGGTTGGGGATCAACTTGTTGCGGTCAACGATGAGGAATGCATTGGAATGCCATTTGCTCAGGTCCAAGTCCTCCTCTTCCTCTGCCTTCTTCCTTCTCCTCCCCTTCTTCCTTCTCCTGCTCCTTCACTCCCCTCCCTCCTCTCCCTTCCGTTCCCTCCTTCCCTCCCCTCCCTCCTCTCCTCACGCTCTTTTCTCGTTCCTCTTCTCTTCTTTCATTCACCTACTTGCAGGTTGCTGACCTTCTCGGCAAGAATCCTTCGGTCCCTCTCAAGTGAGACTCCTTCTTCCTGCCGCTCTACTTCTTCCTTCCTCTCCCCCTCTACGTCACAGCTGCTGTTCTTCCTTCCTCTCCCCCTCTATGTCACAGCTGCTGTTCTTCCTTCCTCTCCCCCTCTACGTCACAGCTGCTGTTCTTCTTCTCTGTCATGCCCCTCGTCCTCTTGATCTCTTACTATCTCTGTCTCTCACACCTCACTTCTTCCCCTCCTCTCGTCCTTCCTTCGCCTCCTCTCGTCCTTCCTTCCCCTTCCCTCTCACTCTTTCTCCTCTCCCCCTGTCCCTCATGTCGTCTGCTCCAGGTTTCGCTTCTTCCGTGGAAGCAAGCAAGAGCTTCTGACGGCGGTTGGCATCTCATTGAAGGGGGCGAACAGACTGATGAAGAGGCAGGTCGGGAGGGAAGACTACGTGGCCACCACCGCAGAGGTTATCGTGATCAACCCTGACGGGCAGGAAGTGACGGTGAGACGAGGAGAGGACAAGTGGTGCAGAAGACCAGGGGAGAGGAGGAGGAAGGAGGGGAGGAGAGATGGTAGGGGCGAGAAAGAGGTGAAGAGGGTGAGGAAGATGGAGAGGAAGAGGAGGAGGGCCAGGAGGTCTGATGCTCGTGAGGGGACAGTATGAGGCAAGGGCGGGAGCGAACTTGAGAGACTCGCTGATTGAGAATGGCGTACAAGTGAGTCAAGCCGTTGCTGCCTCCGACTCTCCTCCCCCCTTCCCCGGACACACTCCTCAATCTCCTTCTCCTCCTTGCTCTCTCTCACATTCCCTCCAAATCCTCAATGTCTTCTTCCACATCATCAAAAAACTTCCCAGTCTTCTCCTGCTCGTTTCCCCCTCCTCCTGCGAAGCTGTTCCATGCTCTACATATCCATCGCCTCCTTCTCCGTGACCAGTCACTTTGAAGACATGCTCTCATCCTACATCTCTCATCCTACATCTCTCGTCTACATCTCTCATCCTACATCTCGCATCCTAGATCTCTCATCCTACTTGCTCTCATCATACATCTCT